ATTTTAAAGAAAGCAATATTTATGGGGCTGGCTTTGTGGCACAGTAGGTAAAGGAACCACGTGCAACTCTGGCATTCCTTATGGGCACTGGTTTGTGTCCTGGCTGCTCTACTTCTGATGCAGCTCGCTGCTGGATGGTCTGGGAAAAGGTGGAGTCAGGAGTTTGAGATGGGTATCAAACCAATATGCATATAAGACATAGGCATCTTTAACCCCTAGACCAAATGTCCATACCCAATATTTTTTTTTAAGATTTATTTATTTATTTGAAAGGCTGAGTGACAGGCAGAGGCAGAGAGAGAGAGGTCTTTCATCTGCTCTTATGGAAGACCTAGATGGCCATAATGGTTGGAGCTCTGCTGATCCGAAGCCAGGAGCCAGAGGTTTCTTCTGGGTTTCCCACACAAGTGCAGAGGTCCAAGGACTTGGGCATCTTATGCTGCTTTCCCAAGCCATAGCAGAGAGCTGGACTGGAAGTGGAACAGTCGGGACTTGAACCGGCACACATATGGGATGCCGGCACTGTAGGTCACGGTGGCTTTACCTGCTATGCCACAGCGGTCTTCCATCTGCTGATTCACTCCCTAGATGGCTGCTTTGGCCAGGCTGGGCCAGGCTGAAGCCAGGAGCTTCTTCCAGGTCTCCGGTGCCTATATGGGATGCTGGCATTGTAGGTGGTGGCTTTACCTGCTATGCCATGGTGCCTACCCTGCCAGTATTTTCTTAGTAAGGTGATGCTTTACTTTGTCATTTTTCCTTTAACTCTTCCCACTCTGTGTTTGATGAAATCTCTTCTTTTGTAACAAGTTCTCTTAGCTTTTGTTCACATGAAGCTACCTTTATTTCATTTTTGTTTTGGAAGGATATTTTTTCTTAGTATAGAATTCTAGGTTGATTTTATTTTAAAGCTTTATTTATTTATTGGAAGCGGCAGAGAGAGAAGGACAGAGATTTTGCATTTACTAGTTCACTTACAAAATGTCAGCAATAGCCAGGTATGGGTTAGGCCAAAGCTAGAAGCCATTAACTCCATTCTGGTCTTCCACTTGGAGAGACCACAGGCATCTTAGTATGTGGAGGTGTCATCCACTGCCCTCGCAGGCACATTAGCAGGAAGCCGAATTGAAATAGGAATACCCAGACTTAAACCAGCATTCTGATATGGGATGCTGGTGTGACAGTGGCTGCTTTACCCACTGTGCCACCACATTGGCCCATGATTGATTTTTTAATGCTTTAGAGGTAGCATTTTATTACCTTCTGTTTTCATTATTTCTGGTGAAAAATTAGTTGTTTGACATATTTTTGTTTCTTTCAAGGTAATGATACCACTTTGAATATTTGTGTACAAGTTTTATATGAATATGTGGGGTTTTAAAAGAATTTTGTTTGGAAGGCAGCATTTACAGAGAGGGGATGAGAGGTCTTCTGTCTGCTGGTTTACTCCCTAAATGGCCCCAAGCCAGGAGCCAGGAACTTTATCTGGGTCTTCCACATGGGTGCAGGGGCCCAATGACTTCTTCATCCTCTGCTGCTTTTCCCAGGCTCATTAACAAGAAGCTGGATGAGAAGTGGAGCAATGGCACCCATATGGAATGTCAGTATTGCCCGCGGTAGCTTTACCTGCTATGCTACAATGCGGGTCCCATAAATATGTGTTTTTAATTCTCTTGAATATGTAACAGCAATGGACTGGCTAGATTATATGGTAACTGTATGTTTAACTTTTTGAGGAACTGCCAAATAGTATTCCACAGTGGCTGTACCCTTTTACATTCCCACCAGCATATAAGAGTTTGTTTCTTTATATTCTTGCCAATACTTGTTTTCTGTAGTTTTTATTTTCATGTTATTGTTATAACCATCCTACTAGGTTTTGACCATTTATTCTGTTTTTTTTTTAGAATGCCTTGTAATTTTTAATACAACACCAGATATTGTGGAGGAACAATTACAGAAGCTCTGGTTTATGTTATTTTCCTCCAGAGAGGATTATGTTTTCCTTTGGTATACAAAGTACTAGGAGATCACCTTAAGTCTATTGAGGGTTGATTAGAAGAATTGTTAGGGTTAGCCTATTTCAGTTTTGACCTTAATCTAAAGTGAGGCTTTTCTGAAGTCTCAATAGGTAGCTTGAGCTGTTTGTGAAGACCTCTCTAACTTGGTGGGGCCTACACTCCAATCTTTGTCTCCCTCGCAGAGGACAGCATCCGGAATCTGCTCAGCTTTTTCATCTCCTATCTTTGTGATTCCTTCTCTCTGGGATTTTCTTCTTTCATTTTCTGCTTTGTGATAGTAAAAAAACTAATGCTTTTTTCTCAGTCTAGTAGGAATAATGCTTTCTATTTGGGCTCTATTCCCCTGTTACAGAAGAAACTTAGGAAAAAACTAAGGTAATTGTAGAGCTGGCCTTACACACTTCCTTTCTTGCAGGAGTTGTAGTCCCTACTGTTACTTTCTTTGTTAGTTGCTGTTTAGTGACTATAAACAAGCTTTTACATTTTATCTAGATTTTTACGACTTTAATTAGTAGGAAGGGTAGTTTGATACGAGCTACTCTATAATGATGGTAATAGCCAGTAAGTATGTTTTATAAGTTCAAGTACAAGAAAATGAGTTCACTGTTTTTTTTTTAAGATTTATTTATTTATTTGAAAGAGTTATACACAGAGAGGAGAGGCAGAGAGAGAGAGGTCTTCCATTTGCTGGTTCACTCTCCAGTTGGTTGCAATGGCCAGAGCTGTGCCGATCCGATGCCAGGAGCTTCTTCTGGGTCTCCCACAAAAGTGCAGAGGTCCAAGGACTTGGGCCATCTTATGCTGCTTTCGCAGGCCATAGCAGAGAGCTGGACTGGAAGTGGAACAGTCGGGACTCGAACCGGCACACATATGGGATGCCGGCACTGCAGGTCACGGTGGCTTTACCTGCTACGCCACAGCGGTCTTCAATCCGCTGGTTGATTCCCTAGCTTATGCCAGGCTGGGCCAGGCTGAAGCCAGGAGCTTCTTCCAGGTCTCCCATGTGTATAATGTAAGGAAAAGGGAAACTGAACAGGGAAGAGACAATTATGAACTCATAGCCAAAACAAATGTATTCAAGGGAAAATAAATTTGCAGAGGTGTCCAACTGCCAGGGTACAGACAGACTGAATATGTGGAAGAGGGCACAGTCCTCTAGTGGGCTCGGCCTCTTACATCTTAGGGTGACAAAGGGTCTGGATGGGGTGGGGCAGTAGTTGAAGGTGAGTTTCTTATAGGATTTTCATGGGCTTTCAAACTTGGAAAAAAATTCAGAGTGTAGGGTGGGGAAGAGTACAAGGTGTGGGACTGAACTGGTCTCCTGAAAGAATGCAGGGGTAGAGTCCATCAGGGAATTTGATTTACTTTCAGGCAAAGAACTAAAATGACTGGTGCATATGTCCTTTTTCTATGAGGTGGTGGAGGCCCAAACATTTAGGCCATCTTCTGCTGCTTTTCCCAGGCCATTAGCAGGGAGCTGGAACAGAAGTGGAGCAGCTGGGACACAAACCAGTACCTGTATTGGATGCTGGTATTGCAGGCAGGTACTTGACCTGCTGTGCCACAACACCAGTGCCAAAATTCTGATTTTTATTTTATTTATTTATTTGAAAGAGTTACAGAGACAAAGAGAGACCTTCCATCTGCTAGTTCATTCACCAAATGGCCATAATGGCCAGGGCTGGGCCAAGCTGAAGCTAGGAGGCAGGAGCTTCTTCCTGGACTCTCACGTGGGTAGCAGGGGCCCAAGCACTGCGGCCACCTTCTGTTGCTTTTCCCAAGCCATTTGCAGGAAGCTGAATTGGAAGTGGAGCAGCTGGGACTTGAACTTGTGTCCCTAGCATTGCAGTTAGTATAACTGCTGTGCCACAATACTGGCCCCAAAATGCTGATTTTTAAATGGGTGCTGTTGCAGTAGCATTTGGTTATTTCTGTAAATGTTAATGATGTTGAACCATGGGAGATTTGAGTGGTGTTTAATGAACAGTGTGTATCTGTTAACTGTGTCAGGGAAATTGTGTGTCTAAAATCTGGAAAAAGTACACAGTAACTAACTGGCCATCAAAAATGTGGGAGGATGAGAATGACTAAAGTTATAGGAATGGACACTATGTGCAGAACATTGAGAAAGAAAGCGGAAGTAAATCTGCAAAGAATAATGCCTCTCTCCCCTCTGCAGGCTTAAAAATGGGGATTTGGAAAGAAACTAACTATTTGCTTTCTCCTTCAAAATATCCCCCAAGAAGGGAGCCAGGTGTTGCAGATCATCTTGTATCTGTGTTTTTCTTTTTGCCCTTTTGTGAACTCTCAAGGTTAGTCAGTGATTTTCTTCACAATTTCATTAGGAAATTTGCCAAAGGCATCCTTTTGAGGCAGCTGTCTCTGTACCCTTGGAGGCCATCAGTAATGTTTCCAGTCTCTAGCAGTAGTCGGCACAAAAATGTTGAGCTGAACTCTTGCCTCTGTTTTAAAACATTCCTTTGCTTACCACTCCCCCCTCACTCTTAACAGTAGAAAAGACACCACATTTTGAGACTTCTGGTACTTTTATGGTTTTTTGTTTACTGAACCTTTTTATGTAAATATCCACCATTAATAAAGATAGACCTAAATATGTGAATAATAAATTTTTAAACAATTTGAATAACAATAGATATGTTAGATTAAGAAATGTGAATTGCTTTTATATGAGTGTTAATTGTATTTTCATTACGGAGATTTTGTAAAGTAAAATACTTTAATTGTGGTGTACTTTTAGTTCGAGGTGCTCATATTCTATGTTTGTACTGTCTTCTGAAGTTTTTTGAGGGTATTAAATATGATGTTAATAAATCCGTGGTTTGAATGCCTTAGAAGAAATTGACATGCGTTTGTGTTTTTGTTCTTATTCAGTTTAATAATATAGGCAACTGTTATACCATATGCATCTTTAATATATTAGTCTGACTGTTTCTCTTGGTTTACCAAACTGTCTTCTTTTAGCCACCCACACAGAATATGCCTATGGGTCCTGGAGGGATGAATCAGAGCGGCCCTCCCCCACCTCCACGCGCTCACAACATGCCTTCAGATGGAATGGTAGGTGGGGGTCCTCCTGCACCACACATGCAGAACCAGATGAACGGCCAGATGCCTGGTAAGTTTTTCTCCTCTAAGACATTAACACCAGAGTTGCTTAGCAACTGAAACGACATGGGGGCTCAGGGGATACTAGATTGTTGATGACAAAACTGCTTTGAATGCCCCCGAGTACAAGCTCTCTTAGAGTTTGTTAGCTACAGAGCTACGTGACCTGTATTCAGTGTTTATCAGACTGCCCTTGGGCTTTGATGTAGCTGACACACAGCATTCCTCTGATGAACAGAACCGGCTAAATTTAGTCTGTCTGAAACTATGCAATACAGTTGGCTTTAGAAGCTTTTTGGAAAAAAAAAAAGGCATTGCGCCATGGCTTAAGAATTAAATCTGTTCATAAAAAGATATTATATATAACATTTCCTTGAATTTTTGTTTACTTAAAAATGTGTTGATTCCAGAAACAGTATCACTGGAAAAAAACACATGGGGGAAAGAAATAGCAGTTTCAGAAGTGTTAGTATATATGGTATCTCATTGATATTATTGAAAGGTAATGTAGAATTTGGTTAATACATATGTTTATAGGATAACATAAATTTCAGAACTGATTTTAAAGAAAAATGAAAAGCTCAGAAATAATGTAAGCTTCCTTAGATGAGATACTTCAGAATGTTCAGAGCAAAATGGAATTAAAAGTGCTTATTTTGGTGCAAAAATATTTTTGAGGTCCATGTGTAGTTTTTTCATAATACACATTTTTCACATAATGATCCATTTTCTTTCCTATTTATCTATTTTAAGTTTAGTCATGAGAATAGTATCTCTTAGACCACCATATACTTATTAGTTCCCTTTTGCTGGTTTGAATTTTTAATCTGAAAGTACCTTTCAGTTATTTTGTTTTAGTAACAACAGCAAAAACCCATGACCTCCATTTTTGGTGGAATATTCTTCACATTTAATATAAAAATATTTTTACTTTCTAAAGACACATGTTATTTTTATTAACTGAAAGAAAATATTATACAGTTAGCAGCAATGGAAGTTAATTAAAATAACAGGACAGAGGCTGGCACTGTGGCGTAGCAGGTAAAGCTGCCTCCTGCAGTGCCAGCAACCTATATGGGTGCCGGTTCAGGTCCTGGCTGTTCCACTTCCAGTTCAGTTCTCTGCTATGGCCTGCAAAAGCAATAGAAGATGGCCCAGGTCCTTGGGTTCCTGCACCTGTGTGGTAGACCCAGAAGAAGCTCCTGGCTCCTGGCTTTGGATTGGCTCAGCTCTGGACATTACAGCCATTTGGGGAATAAACCAGCAGATGGAAGATCTCTCTCTCTCTCTCTCTCTCCCCCTCCCTCTCTCTCTCACACTCTTTCTCTCTTTCTGCCTCTGCCTCTAAGTAGCTCTGCCTTTCAAATAAGTAAATAAATCTTTAAAAAGATACAACAGGACAGTTTGTTACTAAAATTACTAATTAGCATCCTTAGGTAGTGTCTTTTCTAGGTAATTGTATTGGTTGGTAGCTTTGGCATCTATGGATGAAAAGTGTTAAAAGCAAAAGAAAGGAGCAAAAGAGGCAAAGTAACTTGGGTTATAGAAGATTAATTTGTGACTGATCATATAGGAAGGAAATGATGTTTCAGTGACTGTTTTCTATTTCTGCTAAGACTTGCAGCATTGATGGCCCACACCCAGAATGGAGGTAGGAATGAAGACATAACTGCTTTTCAGTTTGTAGTCAGGAGAAAGCTTTTGCCAAATCCACATTTAGCTCACAGGACATATCATTTTTAGAACTGGAAGGGTAATGCAAGTGCAGGTTAGCTAGTTAGGAATTTTGTGACTTTATATGGCAATACCTTTAATTAGAATTTTGACTTATCCAAGTAACTTTCAAACCTAAGACCCAAGAAGCATTTGTGCAGCAGTAGTGTTACTGTTAACATCACATTTTGGTTCTTGTGTAAGGCCATCTGGAGTACTTGTCTATTGTTTTATTTTTATTTATTTATTTTAGACAATCTAAGACAATGTCATTTTTTTTTTTGTAAAATAATTATTTATTTATTTGAAAGGTAGAGTTACAGACTGAGAGAGGGAGAGATGGAGAGATATCTACTGTAACTCCCCAAGTAGCTGCAACGGCCATTGCTGGGCCAGGTTGAAACTAGGAGCCAGGAGCTTTATCTGGGCATCCTATATGGATGCCGGGGCCCAATCACTTGGTCCATCTTTTTCTGCTTTCCCAGGCCATTAGCAGGGAGCTGGATCACAAGTGGAACAACTCATACCTATAAGGGATGCTGGTGTAGCAGGAGGCAGCTTAACCGCTTCTCTACAATGTAGGTCCCAACTTGTGTAAGTCAGAGATTATCAACTAGTTATGACCCAAGTTTTCCTCAGAATATGATAGACCTTCCAAAACAAAAGAGTTATAGTTAAGTTTAGGAAAAATTGGAAGGCCAGTAACTTATGTTTTCCTTATTTATTCCTCATAGCATTTAGTCAGCCATTTTGTGCAGTTTTGTCTTTAGGCTCTTATTAGCTTTGTTTTCAATACTTTATAATCTAAGTTGCAGTTACTTATATCATGTTTATCTTAAATTTTAAGTATTTGAAAAGCAGACAGAGAGATAGAAATAGAGGTGAGATAGAACTCCTGTCTGCTAGTTCACTCTGCAAATGCCTATAATAGATGGGCCAAAGCCAGGAGCTGGGGACTCATTCCAAGTCTCCCATGGGAGCGCCAGGGATCCAACTGCTGCTGTCTCCCCTAGGGCGTGCATTAATGGAAATGCTGGGGCTTAAACTCAGACACTTCTATATGTAATTTGGATGTCCCAAATCTTAACTGCTATGCCATGTGCTCTTCAGTCTTGGTCAAGTAACATCATTCCTAAGTTCCTTTTTTAAAAAAGTGATGGATGTTTTTTAAAACACTTGACAACACATGCCTGTGGAACAAGAATTAAAAGGTACCCAGGCTGTCATGGTGGCATAGCAGGTAATGCTGCTGCTGAGACACTGGCATCCCATATGCATGCTTGTTCATGTCCTGGCTGCTCCACATCCGATCCAGCTCCCTGCTAATGTGCCTGAGAAAAGCAGCAAAAGACGGCCCAAGTTCTTGGGCCCCTGCACCCACGTGGGAGACCCAGATGAAGCTCCTGGCTGCTGACTCTGGCCTGGCTCAGCTCTGGCCACTGTTGCCATCTGGGGAGTGAAACAGCAGATGGAAGATCTCTCTCTTGCTGTCTCTCTGTCTCTGTCTGTCTCTTCCTCTCCCTCTCACTTTGTCGCTTTCCTTTCAAATAAATAAAACAATAGCAATTTTTAAAAAATTTAAAAAACAATGAAAAGGTGCCAGAGGGCATATAGCTCTTACCTTTACGAATCATTTTGTTTTAGAGAAGTGGGGCTTGCTGGATTAAAGCTTATATGCATTTTAAAATTGGACGATTTTGCCAAGTTGCTCTGTTATGAAAATGGTACTTATTTCATTTGTGTTCCCTCAACAATGTATGAAAATACTACTTTCTTCATGGCTGAATCAAAACTTTTGATTTTTGAGAATCTAAAAGATGAGAATTCCTTCTTATAATTTCAATTTGTCTTTCTTGTTATAAGAGAAGCAGTGGGTCTTTATGTTTGTAAATCCTTTCGTGGTTTTTATGTAAACTCAGAAGTTCCTGTCCTTTGCCCATGTTTTTACTTGTGGTCTTTTACTTTTATGTTAAATAATTAATTTGGTCTGTGATATTTCTGGTACTTTTTTGTTCAATTTTATTTTATTTTTTAAAGATTTTATTTATTTTATTTGAATTAGAGTCACAAACAGAAAGAGGGAGAGACAGAAAGGTCTTCCTTCCATTGGTTCACTCCCCAAACAGCTGCAATGTCCATCGAGAGCCAAGAGGCCCTTCCCTCCTCACCCCCGTCTCCCATGTGGGTACAGGGGCCTAAGGACCTGGGCCATCATCCGCTGCTTCCCCAGGCCACAGCAGATAGCTTGACTGGAAGTGGAGCAGCTGGGACTAGAACTGGCGACCACATGGGATGCTGGCCCTGCAGGTGGAGGATTAACCCACTGCGCCAGGGCATAAGCCCCTCAATTTTAATTTTAGGTAATTTATCAGTCTTCTATGGCTCTCTATTTTTTTTTTTTTTTTTGCTTAAGAATGCTCTTGCAAATCAAGATTATTTGAAAAATTCTTTTTGAAACTATCTTTTATGATTTTTTTTCTCTTACTGTTTTTTAACATTTAAATTTTTTTAGCCATCTGGAATTAGTTTTAGTGGAAGGGATGAAGTGCGAATTTAACTTGTTTTTTTTTTTTCTAGATTTCTGCCTAGTTGTCACAACACCATTTATACAATTAGTTTTCTGATGCCCACTGATATTTAATATCATGACAGTTGTCATTTACTGAATTATGTATTGGAGTCTATTTTTAGACTATACTTGCCCATTAATTTGTTAGTTTGTTAATTTGTGTGCCAGTACTGCACTCTGGTTTTCTATGTTTTGCTCTCATTTTTTTTTTTTTCAAAGATTTATTTATTTATTTGAAAGGCAGAGAGAGAGAGGTCTTTCATTCTCTGGTTCACTCCTCAATTGGCCACAACAGCCAGAGCTGCACTGACCCGAAACCAGGAGCCAGGAACTTCTGGGTCTCCCACTTGGTTGCTGAGGCCCAAGAGTTGGGCCATCTTCTGCTGCTTTCCCAGGCCATTGCAGAGAGCTGGATCAGAAGTGGGATGCTGACAATGCAGGCAGCAGCTTTACCTACTATGCCATGGTGCTGGCCCTGTTTTGCCCTTTTATAAAGTTAGGCTCTCTACTGTTCTTTAGAATGTTCCTGGCTTTTTTTAGATCATTAGTTTCTTTCTTTCTTTCTTTCTTTTCTATTTCTTTCTTTCTGACAGGCAGAGTTAGACAGTGAGAGAGAGAGAGAGAGACAGAGAGGAAGGTCGGCCTTCCGTCGCTTCGCCCCCCAAATGGCTACTATGACCAGTACCCTGTGCTGATCCGAAGCCAGGAGCCAGGTGCTTCCTCCTTGTCTCCCATGCGGGTGCAGGGCCCAAGCACTTGGGCCATCCTCCACTGCCTTCCCGGGCCACAGCAGAGAGCTGGGCTGGAAGAGGAGCAACCAGGACAGAACCTGGCACCCCAACTGAGACTAGAACCTGGGGTGCCGGTGCCGCAGGTGGAGGATTAACCTAGTGAGCCGCGGTGCCGGCCGATCATTAGTTTCTTAATCTGTGAAATAGATGTAACATCTACCTCATGTATTTACTGTTATTTGTGTCAGCCATTTACTTTGCTATTGATCAAGTACTCAAATTATTGTTTGATACTATTATTATAATATAAAAAATTAAAAACTTTTAAAGACACTTTTATATAGATCATCTGTTTAACTTTGATATTTTGGTCCTTATCATTTTCTTCAAAGGGCCTAACCATATGCCTATGCAGGGACCTGGACCTAATCAACTCAATATGACAAACAGTTCCATGAATATGCCTTCAAGTAGCCATGGATCCATGGGAGGTTACAACCATTCCGTGCCATCATCACAGAGCATGCCAGTACAGAATCAGATGACAATGAGTCAGGGGCAACCAATGGGAAACTATGGCCCCAGGCCAAATATGAATATGCAGCCAAACCAAGGTAACTAAGCTTTATATCCTTCTTGACTACTGTGCTCTATTAGCCTAGGAAGTTTTTGGTGAGTTAGCAGATTCATAAAAATATGAATTTGAAGTGACATTCATGCCCTAAAAAAGGGAACATGGAAATAGATAGTAGTTTAAATCTCATTGTTTTTCTTTACCCTTAGAAATTAAATGGCTATATTTGACTTTTTAAGCTGATTTATTTTTATATCTTTTAGATAGTTATTTAGGATTCTATATTGTATTTAAAAATGTTTATATATTTATTTGAAAGATAATGATAGAGTCGGTAGGGGGAGAGAGAGAGGTTGATCTTCCATCTGTTGGCAACAGTTGGATCTGGTTCAGGCCAAAGCCAGGAGCCAGGAACTCCAGCCACATTTCTCACATGGATGACAGCAACTAAAGTAATTGGGCCATCTTACACTGCCTTCTCAGGTACATAAGCAAGAAGCTGGATCAGAAACAGAGTAGTTGGGACTCCAACTGGCTCTCTGATAGAGGATGCCAGCATGGCAAGCAGTGGCTTAACCTACACAGCAGTACAGCCCCTGTATTGCTTTTTTAAAAAAAGATTTACTTATTTATTTGAAAGTCAGAGTTAGAGAGAAGGACAGACAGAAAGGGAGAGATCTTCCATCTGTTGGTTCACTGCCCAAATGGCCACAATGGCCAGGATTGGACCAGGCCAAAACCAGGAACCAGGAGTTTCATCCAGGTCCCCCATGTGGGGACAGGGGCCCAAGAACTTGGGTCATCTTCCACTGCTTTCCTAGGCACATTCACAGGGAGCTGGATTGGAAGTGGAGCAACTGGGACTTGAACCAGCAACCATATGGGATTCTGGCGCTGCAGATGGTAATTTAACCCTCTGTGCCACAGCACCAACCCCTATATTGCTTCTTCTTCTTCTTCTTCTTCTTTTTTTTTTTTTTTTTAATAAGATTGACTTGTTTACTTGAAAGACAGACTTACAGAAAGAGATCTGTTGCTTCACTCCCCAAATGGCTGCAATGGTCAGGGCTGCGCCAGGCCAAAACTAAGAGCCAGGAGCTTCTTCTAGGTCTCCTATGTGGGTGGGGTTGCCTGCTGCTTTCCCAGGTGCATTAGCAGGGAGTTTGATTGGAAGAGGAGCAGCCAGGAAATGAATTAGCACCATTATATAGGATGTCAGTGCTTCAGGCTGTGGCTTTATCTGCTGGACCAGAGTCCCAGCCTCCCTGTATTGCTTCTTAAAGCTTATCACTGAATAACCAAGCAGTTTGGTTCAGAACTAGGAAATACAGAAAATAAAAATTCTTTTTAAAGATTTATTTATTTATTTATTTCAAAAGCAGATTACAGAAAGGCAGAGGCAGAGAGAGAGGTCTTCCATCCTCTGGTTCATCCTCCCCAAATGGCTGCATCAGCCAGAGCTGTGCCGTTCTGAAGCCAGGAGCTAGGAGTTTCTTCCGAGTTTCCCACATGGGTGCAGGGGCCCAAGGAGTTGGGCCATCTTCTACTGCTTTCCCAGGCCATAGCAGAGAGCTGGATCGGAAGTGGAGCAGCCAGAACTCATACTGGCGCCCATATGGTATGCCAGAGCTGCAGGTGGCGGCTTTATCCTCTACGTCATAGCTCAGTCCCCAAAAATAAAATTTTATCTGTGTAGACTCAACCTCTTAAAAAACACTGTCGTGTGGTTTAATTTACTTAGTAAGGTTGTATTAATTTATATGAATTTCTATTGATTTATTTGGGTGTTTTCTGATGCTGTGTTTCAGTATTTAAGGTAGTGCTTAGGTAGTTTATTTTTAGTATGTTCAATGGAGGTGCTACTGTACAAGTTTATCACTGAGTAAAGTAATGCTCTGTAAGTGGTGCTCTGTTCTGGTAATTGTTAAAACATTTTGTGTATTGCCACTTTAAAGCTATTTCAGCTGCAGAATGTGAGATTAAGGATTTAAAATAGAATTAAGTATGTTTCTAATAAAATTTACTAGGTTTTGATGATTAAAAAACAGATCACTAAAGTGTACTCAGAGAAAGGAAATTAATCTATTGATAATCATTTATGATGAAATCACATTTCATGGTTTTAAAATATTAATTTAGGCACCTTATTTTTTTATGAGATATACACTAAACTGACAGTTAATATAGCTTTACAGAACTGACACTGGCTCCATATTTTCACTCAAAATTATTTGTGCCTATGATGGAATATTATCTTTTTTTTTTTTAAATTAGGTCAGTTTTAAGGTTCAAAAGCAATAGCAGATCCACATAATGCTAGATCTGAAGGGAGTTCAGATGCTTCTCCATACAGTTTGATTATGAGCAAAAAGAACCATAAAATTGATAATGATTCTGACAGCAACTATAGTAATAGTGGCACAGTTTTTAGAAACTTACAGATAAGGAAAGAGAGGGTGCGCGTGAACATGGGTGTTGCTGTCACATGGTTTGATACAACATGAGATCTGAAGAGGAAAAAATAATGCATGCAGCAAGATACATATAGGAAATAGTTACTGATTCAGAGTTGAAATGTTTATAAGAATTTTTTGTTTTAAACTTACATACCGATTACTGTTTTTTTAAATGTTGTGTTTTGGGGATCAGTGTTGTGGCACAGCCAGTTAAGCTGCTCCTTGCTTCATTGCCATTTTGTATCAGAGTGTTGGCTCAGGTCCCAAATGTTCCACTTCCAGTCCAGCTACCTGCTAATGCACCTAGGAAGACAGCAGAAGATGGCTTTATACTTTGGACATTACCCACCCATATGGGAGAGTAGGATGGAGTTCCTGGCTTCAGCCTGACCCAAATCTGTTGTAATCTTTTGAGGAGTGAACCAGCAGATAGAAGATCTCTTTCTTTCTCCCTTCCTCCCCACTTCATCAATATCTACTTTAAGTTCATTTGTAGTGTTTTTACCTGTGTCTGTGAATTAAGAACTTAAGTGTTCTCTTCAGCAGCTAAACTACTGGTTAAGCAGAATGTTTTCCTCCATGTGCACTTGAAGAACTGTTAACTTCCAAGTGAAATGTTTAGCTAGCATGTTCTTAAGTAAATTTGTGTCTTAAAAGACTGGCATAGTGTTGCTTAAATATAATAGTCAATCCAACATGTATTTCCCATGTTATTTTCAGTTACCTAGAAAGAATTCATTGATTATCACTTTGTACTGCAAGAGTAAAACCTGTGTTCAAAGCAAACCACAATCTTTCTATGTAAACTTTATTTGCATTTGGAACATTAACTCCACTGGGACTCAGAAAGCCCTAACAAGCTAGGAGGTGTGTCTTTTTTGCTCACTACTACCTACATTCCTGGTGTCTAGAAAAATGCCTTGAGGTATGCCCATACATATTTTTTCAGTTAATAGGAATTGGAACCAACTGTCATTATATGGTGGAAAGACAAAGTTTTTAAAAAATACTTATTTAATAAAGCAACAAGTATATTCATTGTAATAGGAAAAGTCAAATTAGTATAGAAGAGCTTCCTGAAGATGTATTTGATAGAATCATATTTTTCATTCTCAGGCATTCATAGTTGTGAGTTTCCTTTTTTAACAAAAGTTTACTGGTAACATTCAAATGTGAGGAGTTTCACAAATTGCCATATTTATAAAGAATATATTTTACAAGTTCCATGTGTAAAATTTTTCCAGTTTGGATTCATGTCTTAGCCCTGTGATTTATTGTGTGTAGCACTTTTGACTGTGTGTAGTACCTTTGACTGTGTCTACTTAACTAAGAAGATTAAGTGAAATGATGGATGTTTGCAGTTTCTATAACATTTGTTCATTAGAATAATCAAACTTAAAAAAACAAAGAGCATTAGTTTATCAGCTATTTGTGTAATTTCAGCCACACTAATTTCTGATTTTAGTTTTGTTCTAATAGTATTAAAAAACTCTTGATGTATTTTGCTAATGATGATGGTTATAGAGTAACACACTTTGTATTAGTGTGCCCTTTAGTTAGACTGATCCAGAGGCTTGGTTAGGGTAATAGAACGTTTTTCTTTCAGTACCAAAACTGGTCACATTCATTATATAAGTACATAGGACAAAGAATATATATCACAGCTGAGAGTGTTATATTACATTATTACACAGTGGATTATTATTACGCAATGATAAGAGATGTACTAAGCAGAAATACTTGAAATAAGCTTAGCATTTAATTGTGCTTATGTATATGGTAGAATATATGTATCTTTTTATTTTAATTTATTTGACAGGTAGAGTTATAGACAGTGAGAGAGACAGAGAGAAAGGTCTTCCTTCCATCGGTTCACTCCCCAAATGGCCGCTTCGGCCGGCACTGTGCCGATCCGAAGCCAGGAGCCAGGTGCTTCTTCCTGGTCTCCAATGTGGGTGCAGGGGCTCAAGCACCTGGGCCATCCTCCACTGCCCTCTTGGGCCACAGCAGAGAGCTGGACTGGAAGAGGAGCAGCCGGGACTAGAACCTGGCACCCATATGGAATGCTGGCGCCGCAGGTGGAGGATTAACCAAGTGAGCCACGGTGCCGGCCCTATATGTATCTTTTTGCCTCTTTGCTGTCAGTATCTATATATTTCCCTCATTCTTAAGATGTTCTTTATATGGAAGTAACATCATATTTAATAAAACTGTACCTACTTTTGATATTTCTAGTCTTATTCTTACAAAGACTTCTGGAGCAAACATTTTTACCTGTATCTTAGAGTACTTGTGCAAGATCTTTGTAGGATAACTTCTAGAAATAGAATTGTAAGGATAAAATATATGGATACTTAAAATATTTGGGCAGGGGTGGGGGTTATGATATAACAAGTTAAACCACTGCCTGATAATACCAGTATCCTATATAAGTGTCAGTTGGAGTCCCGGCTGTCCTGTTTCTGATTCAACTCTCTGGGAAAGCAGTGGAAGATGGCCCAAGTACTTGGACTACTGTCAGCCTCGTGGGCATCCCGCGGAAGGTCCAGGCTCTTAGCTTCAGCCTGGCCCAACCCCTGTTGTT